CACACGCACACGAACACGCACACGAACACGCACACGCACGTACGCGCACACGTACGCGCACGCGCACACACACGCACACGCACGCACGCACGCACGCACGCACGCACAAACACACACACACACACACACACACACACACACACACAACACAGAACGTATACTCATAGAGGCGTTAATTGCAATTTGCGATACATTTAATTACAGATTATATTAAAATGTATATACCTGTGCATATATATAATATAAAAATTACTTGCGAGTATATTTCGCGATTGTGTGTTTTCTATATGAATTCAAGTGGCCAACGACCAATATAGAGTTATGACTAATAATTTATCTATTATAATAATACCTATAATTGTTAAATTCTATCGCGATCTGTTTTATTGACAATACAGTAAACGTATAAAAAACATTTGTACATATATTCATGCACTCAGCTATCTATATTTAATATAGTTACATGTTCATGATCATATATACCTTCTAAATTAGTACGGTAGTTTCAAAAAGTTAAATTTCACATACACCCTAGGCTTTATATAAATTGATGTCGTGGCATGTTAGCTCAAAGTTGCTATAGCTTTGATCTGAACATGTGAATTATATACCCGCGATATAAATATGTTCATGTAATGATGCATATGAATATTTATCCATTACTTGAAATGTGAAAATGTATGCTCATTTATATATATTAGGTAATGCAATAAATTAACCGTCGGTTGTTTCTTTGACCCTGTGGCCTAATGGATAAGGCGTCTGCCTCCGGAGCAGAAGATTGTGGGTTCGAGTCCCACCAGGGTCGCTAATATTTTACCAAAAGATTATTAATAATATTATCAGTTATTTACGACGTGCTCCTAAATGAAAAGAAATCTATATCGCCAGCGTTATTTTTTAATTAATTCCGTAGCTAGTAGAAACACACGATTAATTATTTACTCTAGTACTAGTAGCATTGATTAGCTGCAGGTGGCTGCACCATCGCATTAATCGCGATGGCGGCAGAAACAAAGCGTAACTATTTGTTTGTTTATGTTTATTGAATGTAGTGTTGCCGACTTAATAAAGCTTAATTAAGCTTTTGATAAATTTCATTAACTACACTTTGTATATTAGAACGTAGGTAAAGCACACTAATCCTGTGTATGAACAATATCATCAAATACTAAACTGGTTAGAAATGATGCTCATTCACGTCAATCATTGCACTGTTTTTGTAGAAATTGAAATAAAAATGAAATCAGGGTAGCTGCTGCATAGAAAGCAAAAAATACCACCGATTTTGCTGCCAAATTGTAAAAAAGTGTGTGACTGTTGCACTCGCTATAACTTTGGTTCAAACTCTTCGACGGGCTGTCGTAACTGTATGTGTGTGTGCGTTGCCAATTATTAGTTTTGGTACACTGTACGACCGTGTGAGTTTGCAAATGAAATGGTAATTGAGATGTTTAATCAAACCTGTAACTAGTCTAATGTAAAATCAAAGGAATCTCCTTTGTTTGACACGCACACGTGTGTATGTGTGTATCAATGCTTGAGTACGTTTTGCATACACAAGTGAATGTTGCAGTGTAGCACTTTGTGTAGCCCTCATTCACTTATGTCACTCTCTCTTTCAGATATGGCAACATCAGTATCGGTCCCAGCAGTATCCAGCTCTATGGACTGGGAAAATATTAACAAAGAACTCAAAAGTCATGGATTTGCACCAGTGGAATTAGAAACAATGAATTTTGGAAGCCTTGCTTCTGAGAGTGCCGGTAAAGCCCGTCTCCTCCCAAAGTACTATCGCTACGTATGATGGGATATCTATGGGAAAATGGCGGTTTTTTTCTAAGTTTGTTATTTATCAATTTTAATAATTGCTCGCTGACATGTAAACACATACTCAGTGATAGCGCACATATAATAAATCGAGGCGTGGAAGTACAGAGAAGCGGTTAAAATCATAAAAAGTTAGATAATTTTACGTTTAATAGCAGCGCACGTCATGCCGAACGCGATTCTATTGCGCCTCTCGCCATCGTAGTGTTAAGCGAGAAGGGAACTTGTGGCTATATATAACCTAGCTCTAGTACTATAGCCTGCATACAGTTGCCGCAGTTGCCGCGTACAGTTCTACAGTTGCTGCGGCAACTGTACGTGGGCTATAGTACTAGAGCTATATATCACCATGTAGTTTATGTCACGTCAACTTTATATATAAGGGCTCATTGACGGAAATGTACCATAAGTGTCTGATATAGATAGGTGTTCATTCTATAGTTGCTTCACCATATAACTGCCACTCAAAGGAAATATATTCTTTTAGAAATATAATCATTTCTATAAAGGTGACCAATAATACAGTTACATTTGATTGTATCTTCGTAATTTTGGAATTAATTTTTAAATTTTTCGTAAAATCTTGGAACTTCTATCCCCTACAAACATATATGTGACCCGCTCTAGCAAAACCAGGATTAAGTAGGAAATTCTACAACTTGAGTTATGTGCATATCTGAATAGATAATTTAATTACCTTTAAAATGATATATAATATTTGGCTATATCTAAAGAATTGACCGATCTACAGCAATTTGAAGATCGGAAACCGACTTATTCCGGAATATGCCGCTTTTGAGATAAAGCGTTCCGGGTAAGGGGCCCAGTCGGGGATGAGCGGTCAAAAGCCCTTTTTTATTTAATTAAAAATGACCATAATAATCTAGAGATATCTGAACCTATATATCCGGATTAAATATGCACTTAGGAACTTATTTTTGTAAAAATCTCATTTTTGTCCAGGTAGGCCATTTTCAGCATTGACATGTGTGCGTGCTTATTACTCAAAACAATGACTTGCGACTTAAGCCTGGCGCACATTGCCGAACATTTTTCCGAACAAATGTTCGTCCGAACAAATGTTTTTGTCTGGCAATGTGCGGGTGAACAATTGCTGAGCGCAGATTGCCGAACATTTTGCAGCGAACAACCTCGTGGCGCCGTCTAGTAGCTGTGTTGTAGAGAGTCACGTGATCGGCGTGTGGCCAATCGGTGTGATAGGCATTTACAAATGTTTCTAGATATGTTCGACATTCAGCGCACATTGACGAACATTCGACGAACAATGTTCGAGATATCAAACATTTCCGATCTTCAGAAACATTGTTCGGAACAAATGTTCGGCGACTTTTTTCACCGCACATTGCCATACATTTCATGGAACATTGCTACGATAATGTTTTTGAGCAAAATGTTCGACAATGTGCGTCGGGCTTTAGTCTGTATTATGCTGGAGCGGGTCACATATGTGATTGTGTATAGATTTAAACGTTTTATTCCTATTATGGCAATAATGTTGTGTCAAAAATATAAATTTTTGGTACTTTTAGATATTGTAGTAATGGATCTTCAGCAACGTACCGTTTTAACTGCGACAATAACGGATCTGCTGAAGAAATGTGACCATGGACAGTCAATCATATCAGATTTAGTTTTGTCCAACAAGCATCTCAGGTAATATATTCCAAATGAATATATATATAGTATAGGCAATGATCTCTGAGTATATCTGTTGACTGTGGCTAAGACACCTCTCTCTCTCATTTCCGATATCTACAATAAAGTGGTGGTCTGGCAAAAATCATTCTCCAACAAACCATCCACCTATTTTAGTCTTTCTTGTATTCCTACAAGGAAATTTGATTACCATTTTATGTAATTTTGCTAATAATCACGGTTTTTCACAAATGCATTGATAGATTGTACAACTATCAAAGTTTTGTTTAATGAATGCTCAATGTGATGTTCATGATTACTCTACTTCCAGAGAAGAGTTGAAGGCACAAGTGGCATTTTCAGAAAAGTGCCACAATCAGCTGACGAGTTTACAAGAGAAGTTGGCTGCGGAGGCTAATATTAAGGTATTTCGAATCTACTTTATATACATTTGCTAGCATGCTTACCAATTTTTACCACATTACCGTTCAGAGACTGATTTAATTGATTTAATTTCTCATCTAAGCAATTTAGCAAATAACAGAGTCTAATACATATTTCTTTAGACACCTCAGGTTTCTAGTAGTGGAGAAGGACAGAAACCAACATCCTTGACTTCTTTGGCTACCGAAAACACGTGAGTTCACTTAAAAACCTCATCATTCACACATTCTTCTTTACTTGATTTATTTTTGCTCATTTGATTGCTATACACAACATGTGCAATCCCAACAATGTCTGCTTCAATGATCAGAACATTAATGCATACCTGCTCATTTATCTAGGCTCATACAACCGTATGTGATCAGTCAGGTCTACCTCTGGATGTTTTTGAAGTTTGAGCAGAGACTTGAGCAACTAAAGTTATTTTTTAGCCACCAATGAAAAACTATAGCCGCTGTTCACTTTATCGTATGTGCTAAGAACAGCAAAGCATAAACGGGAGATGGGCATGTGAAAAGAGGTGTACGAAAACATTTTACGACACTACAATGCAATTTGACGATTTTCTTTGTTCATTCGTAATTTTGTGAGCAGTTAAATCATTCGCACATTGTATTCACCAGTTTGTGTAGTAAAATTGCCACTGTTATTTATTCATCACATTTTGCGAAGGTGGCGAACGCCAGCGGTAGTCCTGTTCAGTGTGTTTATTCATGTCCTCTCATTTATCTAGGCTCTTACAGATGCTAACAGAGGAACAAGACTTGGTAATTGAGCAGCTTGCAGCCCAGCAAGCTGGACAGTCAAGTAGACAGAGCAGAACAGCCAAGAAGTACAAGGAAGCCTACAAGGTTTGCATGGCCAAGCAAATCTCTTACTGTCAGCGGTCCGTCTCTAATCATCAACCTGTGTCATCAGCTGTTATGGAATCTCATATGTTGCATATGTGCTTAAAGATTCACGGTTGCTATTTCACTCGAAGCCAATTGGAGCAACTAGAGACATGGTTGTTAAATAAGTAACTTAGCAGTGTATTCTATCGTTTACTCTAATTTCTTGTAATGAGTATCAGTCGGAGACGATCTCATTTATACCTACTGTCTCGGCTACAAATTAGCACACCACATAGCTCACGATATTATTTTTGCGCAGTAAGTTTATAAACACATAAGTGATGTCAAATGTTTGAATTATAACCACGCTAGCCTAGTGTATCTTGAGTCCAAGCTGAAATGTGTTATAGAATAAGGATGATGTGTGAATGACTTCATTAATTAGCACAGTGAGTTAATCGCTCAACCTTTCCTTGCAGTAACAGATACAATGTTATGTGAACTATTTTTAGGGATGCCAAAAAAAGCTTGCAGAGGTCCAAGAGAAGCTAGTGATACTCCAAGAGCAATGGGATCTTTTGAGTTTTGAGTTAAATAATAAGTGAGTATCATGTAATTCATTGTATTAAATAACAGATAATCCCTATAAATGGAAATTGGTGTGAAATAGCTTGCATGGTGTTTTCAGTAGCGAAAATATTTGCCGTGCATTAGATGTCATTGTTTTATTCTCTAGGTATGATATGAGCGGGCTGAAGGAACTGCAAAAGAAGGTTAGAAAGTTGGAAATAGCATTACAGCCAAAAATAATGCCAAGTAGAGAGGTGACCACTGAGAGGAGTATGAATAAATATACATACAACTTGCCGTTTGTCGATGAAATGCCTAGTGCAATGTGCAAGCAACATCTAAAGGTGTGATAAAAGTTCTGTATTTGTTTGTATAGTTTTTTCTGCAATATCTTATTGTTGTTTCCCTATCTCAGTGCTTAATGGTTAAACCAACAAGCCAAATCTCTTGTTACATGATATTCATTATTTCGTGTGCATCTATCATCATAATTGCTGTTAAGATTCATTATATTTATGTACGTTGTTCCAGAACATTTGTCAGGTGTTAGAGGTTTACGATGTGAACATGTTCTCTACCAAATTGAAAGCCATGTCCCAGCATTTGACATCTGACGCAAAGATGAAAAAAGTACTTATTATTGTTACCATTGTCTTATTATAAGAGCTTATTAATATTATTGCTAGAACAAAATACTTGGATTGTGCCTAGATTTTTCTTGCTATAACACAGTATTATGTTTACACACTGCCCCTTCTGCCAGCATTCAGTAAGCTCTTCCAAAATCCTTTGTAAATCTTTCTTAAACGTCATCTCGGTCGGTTTGACATTTTAAAATATGTAACTGCTAAATTTATTAATGTGTTGTTCGAAGAGTACTTGACACCATTGTGAAAAATGATCATGTCACGTATTAAAAGGGTAGAGAGCCATTCTTGTTTGTAGACTGGTAAGTACATTTCGAAGGGGCATGAGCTAGAGCTAGGAAGAGCGAACCCTGTCACTGTTTACATTAATTTGACTTCTACCTAAACACTTTCTAATTTATAGGCCCTGCACGAAGTCGTATCGCTGACGAAAGGAGAGCGTCACGTGAGATGGGGCACTCCTCGTCCGAAACACGCTGTCTGGTGTGAGAAAACCTGGCATGGAGTGATACCCATGCTGACTCTGTGGAGGCAGAACACAGTCCAGCTAGAGGTCAGGCAGACGTGGTTGTACTTAGAGCAGACGTCCTGCCTACTTACTGAAGTGACGTTGCCACTAAATTTGACACGACAAAAACGAGAAGATTGTGAACTTGCCCCGATTATCTAGGCACAAATCTAGGCACAAATCTTGCCTGCTTTTAAGTAATTGTTAAAGTAAAATAATATAATAATAATATAATTAATAATAATACTTATTATATGTAATAATAATAATATAATAATGTTATAAGTAAGTGCTATGAGGCCTGCTTGCCGTCTCTAAAACTCTAAAATGGTCGCGATGTATTTCGTGTTCATTTATTCTCATTTAGTGGTGTTATTTTGTTTTAGGCATTACAAGAAGAGATTAATCATGTTGTGCAGACTTTGCCGCCACAGAGGGAGCTACCGTTCCCATCTCCCAGCAATGAGCTTAGCGTCACAGACATGATTGATATGCTTAGGTGCATTGGCGAGGTAGATCCAACACAGAGCCACAGTGAAGTAAGTTTTCATCGTGCTTTTATAATATCTCATCGCAGTTTGATGTGTGCGTTTTCGGCATTCGTAAACTGGTGCTCAGTGCTTATCGGTCTTACTGTCACCACATACAGTGATGATTAATGTGTGTGTGTGTGTGTGCGTGTGTGTGTGCGTGCGTGCGTGAGTGTGTGTGTGTGTGCGTGCGGATGTGCATGTGTGTGTGTGTGCACGCATCTGTGTCTGTGTGTGTGTGCGCAGGTCTGTGTGCATGTATATCAAAGTACTGCGTGTAATTGTACATGAATACCGAATACTTTTGCATTGGTGGCCAAGAGAAATCATAGGCAGATAAATGACCAACAGAGACCATAGATAAATAGTGACCAACAGACATCACACACAGATAAGTGACCAATAGCGACCACAGACAGATAAGTGACCAACAAAGACCACAGGCAGATTAACAAGCAAGAGATACCATAGAGAAATAGTGACCAACAGACACCACTGACAGATAAGTGACCAACAAAGACCACGGACAGATAAATTTTAAACAGAGACCACAGACACAGACAGATAAGTAACCAACAGAGACCACAGATAAGGTGAATGATGTTGAACGGAGCATCGGTTAATCCTCCTCAATCCCCGCATCCCCGTATGTAAGAGAAACCAGCATCACAGCAGCAGCTGCTGGCTATCGTGCAGTGTCTATGCATGGGTGGCTAACAGATGCCACAGACAGATAAATCACCAACAGATGCCACAAACAGATAAATGACCAATGGCCAACAGATGCCACAAACAGATAAATGACCAATGGCCAACAGATGCCACAAACAGATAAATGACCAATGGCCAACAGAGGCCACAAACAGATAAATGACCAATGGCCAACAAAGACCATGGACAGATAAGTGACCAATGTCGACTACAGACAATTGAATGACCAACAGAGACCATAGATAAGGAGAATGATGTTGAACGGAGCATCAATTAACGACTTCACTCCACGTGTAGGAGAGGCCAGCATCGCAGCAGCAGCTGCTGGCGATCGCGCGCTGCCTGCAGGACGTGTTCGAGCTGAAGTCGCTGAGTCACGCGACGACGCGCATCGTCGACGTCCACAATCAGCTGCAGGAGGTCAGGAACGTGATGCGCACGCTGAAGACCATGCTGAGTCTAGGTGAGCCACTCCCCGCCACCTCCCTCCTTCCCTCCCTCTCTCCCTTCCTCCCTCCCTCGGTCTGCTCTCTCCCTCCTCACCTCCCTCCTTTCCTTCCTTCCCCATCTCCCCCCTCCCTCGGTCTGCTCCCTCCCTCAGTCTGCTCTTTCCCTCCTCACCTCCCTCCTTCTCTCTCTCCTTCCCCATCTCCCCCTCCCTCGGTCTGCTCCCTCCCTCCTCACCTCCCTCCTCTCCTTCCTTCCCCATCTCCCCCCTCCCTCGGTCTGCTCCCTCCCTTCCCACCTCCCTCCCTCTCCTTCCCTCCCTCCCTCCCTCCCTCCCTCCCTCCCTCCCTCCCTCCGGCCCACCATCGCTGACTATTGACCATGATCCTAGTCCCGTAAATGGCATTGAACACCATTAGTTCTTATTGCTTCGTTCCTTTCACGGTTTTATGGTTCGTGGCTTTTTTACGATGGTTTTTACTGGGATTGTTACATTAGTCGATGGAATGTGTTAGGACTATCAGACACGTGAGATATATGCTGAATAATGATTACCTGCTTAATAGACTCCGGATTTTGAAAATTTGGATTTTTTTTTTGGTTTTACAAAATTAAATTCATTTGCGTAATGATTGGTCACCACCGATCCGTGCAAGTTTGCGTCTGTCTGTGATATTTGCGTGCGGCGAGTTGTAGAGTGTGGCGCTGCCTTGTGTCATTGCAGGTGAGAATGCCTCGTCGACGGCTGTGGTGGATAGTGTAGGAGCACTGTTGGTATTCCAGCAACAAGTCGAAGAGAAGTGGTGGCTCATGGAAAATTAATACACAGACAGATTGTGTGTGCGCGTGTGCGTGTGCGTGTGCGTGTGCGTGTGCGTGTGCGTGTGCGTGTGCGTGTGCGTGTGTGTGTGTGTGTGTGTGTGTGTGTGTGTGTGTGTGTGTGTGTGCGTGCGTGCGTGTGTGTGTGCTTTGTTATTATATTTTTGCATTCTACCATATGATTACACTATACATACTCAGTGATCGATATCATGTTTCTGAGTCATCGACTGCCAAGTGCGCTGCATCAAAACACGTGTGTATCATAATCTACTAAGTATTCTATGCCATCACACCTGTATGTTTTTTGCTAGCAAAGTATGCTGTGCCATTACGCCTGCATTTCTTAGACATCCAAGTATCCTGCACCAGCACATCTATATGTCTTGGACTGCCAAATGTGGTGCGCCATCACACGTGTATGTTATTGTTAGTATGCTGCACCATGGCTTTGTATATTGTGAAATGCTAGAAACGCGTAGACTGCTAGTTATGTTGCACCATCGCACCTGCATATCTCAGGGATGCTGAACACGCTACAACGCGACCCCACTGTGTGCTGGTGTTCACACCTATGTATCTACGCTGCACCAACATATATTCTGTATGACACTGTGTGCTTTCCAACTAATATATCTTTAAAACAAGCACTCGGCTAACTAATTATTCATGCATCAATGACTGTATATATGAATCACACCTAAGAGTGTCAGATTTCTATGTTTCACGTAGATCGATTTTATTAACTAAGCGAGAGCAGAATGTTATGTTGTTATTGCATGTGCAATTCGCCTGGAGAATTTTATTATACGTGCACATAATGTATAGTGGTAGAATGTATATAATGCATGCATATGAATTAGTTAATAATAACTGAAATTCACGTCTCTTCGTCTGATGAGTGTCAGTAAATGAGGCAACCTATTGAGTAGCAAAAATATATTTTGTCACAGCGAGTTAAGAAATTGCGAAGAATACCTCAAATATTGCTACGGAATTTCATAACACTGTAATTATTATTTCATGCTGAATCCGAGTTGTTGTTACGACGTTTCTATATGGTAGATACGTGTGTGTTTACGTTGCTTATATTACAATCCGGTTAGATACATTTATAACCTGTTTTATCACTCCAATACGTATTAGGATTCTATGTCAGTGTGCGCGCTTGCAAACGCATGCATATGAAAACGTGATTAATTTATCATGCTAGTATATATACACTCGGTGATCACGTTTCATAGGCATTGGGTCAACCGAGTTATCACCATTATGTTTATGTGTTGGTTCTTACATATATAATAGATTTATACATATACTGTATATATAAGTTTGTTGTTAGTTTGATTATGGTACTGCATCCGATATCATTATATTTGAATCGTCTACATGAAGCTGTTATTCTTGTGCATTTCTCCTATTTTTCGTGCATATGTATTACGATTGATCACCCCCCCCCCACACCTGAAATAATATACGTTAGCCCGTGTAACGTCAGTATTGTATTGTTTTCGCTTGTTTGTCGGCTGTGAAATTTCGCTTCTTTTGGTCCAATGCACGTGCAACGAATAATTCATACATTAGCGTGGTTAAACATCAGAATAGAGAGAAGGGATCCCTTTCGTGTAGCGAGACCACTACCCTCAAACCTATCATTGTCGCATCAACGTTGGAGATTGGCGATGTCATTAACGTTGGAGTTAACTAGAATTGACCCCATCAGACCCCATTAACGCCCACGGGACAAACCTAGAGCGAGTTTAAACCGTTGCGGTTGTTCTGTACTGCCTGTTACCGTAGTATAAGATAGTACTGTGCGCATAGAGGGTACAACCACTACACGAAATGAGCGCGGAAATAGATTTAATAGAGTGTCGGGTAAAATACGCACGCGCACGCACGCACACACACACACGCACGCGCACACACATACGCACGCACGCACACACATACACAAACGCGCGCGCACACACACATATACACGCGCACACATACAGAAACACGCACCCAAACGCGCGCGCGCACACACACACACACACACACACGCACACGCACA